CACTAATGGAAGCCCAAGTGTAAAATCAAGAAAATACAACATGCACTTAATAATAATACTAATCATCAAAACAGCTAACTGTTAACAAGATTTTTGATCTATTCTACATTTCACGAAATACATTGTCGTAAATAGAAGTAGAATTTTTTTTTAATTTGTATATGTATAATTATTATTATAGCCATGTATAGTAGGTAAATAAGCGTTTCGAAATAGTAGTACTAATGTATGTAGTTGATGCGATTAAGAAATGTTGTACCTATATATAAAAAGTACGCAACTTCAATGATGATTAAAAAATAAAAATACTTATTTGTAAATAAAGGAACAATTTTTTAATTTTAAAATGACAATTAAATTAGAAACAAGCTCGGCAAGTTCAAATTATTCTTTATATAACGCAGAACCATAGTAGTAATTATCGTATAACTTTTTTCCGAATGTAATCTAATTGTATGAAAGCTCGAACTTACGATTTTATTATGAAAGGTACAAGTGCCTAGATTAATTTTGATTATTAATATTTTCTGTATGTATTATATATTAATGATAATGCATGCTTACTTCAGATTTGTCCTCACAACAATTTAAGGATGAGATACAAGTAATGTGACATATTTTCAACGTACATTTGAAATTTTTGGCCCCTGGATGAACCACAAAAAATGTACTTATTTGTGACTTTAATATATTAACGATTGATTCTTGTATTTAATATCACATTACTTATAACTCGTTAATTAAAATTAACTTTTTTTACTATAATAATACACCGTTTAGGAATAGCATATTTGCATATCGTAACTTAATAGTAAATATATAAATATTCGCAAAACGATGACGTTGCCAAAAAATTGGCTAAATGGCAGATTTATGAAAAATTATGGGATAAATTAAAGCTGTTTATTATCTGAAAATATACGATTGAGCCTTATTACTTAATGAAATCTTTATTATTATTATTTTAGTAGTTGTTGCTAAATAGCTGTAAATCCAATTTAATTGTTATTTCTCCTGATTCTACTTGGTGTAATATCAACCTTTTTATTAATGGTCCATTTGTATTTTGTTGTTCTTTGTATATACTGCTTATCTTTAACTCAGCTCGACCTAGAAACTCTGAAAGAAAATAGCACTGCTTATTCATGAATTATAAATAATTCGTAAATGGACTGTGGTGGACGTTGAAAATTCCCTGGATAGGACAAAAATGAGGGGTTAATGAAAAAAGTAAGAGAACAGATGATGTTTTCGAAGTTAAGAAGGAAGCAGAAGTAGAAACAGAAGTAAAGAGAAACAAAGAAAGACCTAGACTAGATTATGCGATTTCTTTTACACTTTTTTCTTACCATCTGGTTGAAAAGCACTTGTTTCATACACAATCAACGTAAGAATTTCTTCATTGATGTTTTTTACATGAAATTGCATAGAATAGTCCCATACCAAAGTGGGTATTTGAGGAGCCCCATTTAAAGAAGTATTTGAACCAATAATGCTATCAGAGACCGCATTGGTTTGTTGTTCTTGGTCTCCAAGTATCACTTTGCAGTAAATATTCTCAGTATGAGGCTTACCTACGTATATGTAAAGTTTTAGTGGAAATTGCTGTACAGAAAGATTAATTTTATAAAAATTTATAAAATTTACAAACCTAACAATACAAAAATATAAATAAAAATTCACACTACCTATTTATATTTAAAAAGTTATTAAATTAATGAATACATTCACACACACCAACGTAATTGTTTTATAAAACTAGGACAGAAATTTTCACAATAGCAATAGTATGAATGGTTGTGGGAATAATGATTTATTTACTGATTTTTTAATATTTATATGAGCTTTTCAGTATATTGAGATGCAATATTAAATATATCTATAAAGCATTCAATCGTAAAAATTACCGTATAATATGAATTCGCATATTCCAAGTATTTACTCTATATATATTAATTATTAATTATTATACGTGATTAAAGAAAATATACTTTGAATGTAAAAATATATGTGTGACAAAATAAAATACCTTTTCGCTTGAAAAGTTTACCAATTTTGGTGGATCGTATTTCGGAGCCTTGCACAATCGTAACGGTCAACCATGCACGGGCCAAACTGTGAACTAAAACTAGCATGCAGTTCATCTACAAAAATAAATCTTACCCGAACTAATGAAGCGAGTCCCCTTTTGAACGAGCACAAGTAGACGTCCACAGGTCGCCCCTGTTTGGGGCTCTGCACACAAGCAAATGTAAGATCAGAAAAAAGGACATCCCCACAAAAAAAAAACAAATAAAATTACATTCAAAATTTTATAAAAAAAAATGACATAGAAAACAAAATGTAAAAGCAACGATGACACTATGCGCATTTGCTGCTATAATGAAATTAATTTTGTTTACAGTTTCAGTCTTAAAGAAGCACCAACATAAAAACAGGAAGACTGTGGTAAATTAATAAATAAATGAAACAAGAAACTCATCTCAATTACCACTAACACAATTTTATTGAGCGCACACGTGTTTCGCCCACTTCAAACGTGGGCATTATCAACGCGAAACTAGTTCTAAAATTTAAAATTTTCTCCTATTTTTAGGGGCGGGATTTGAGGACAGAAAAGAAAAGATAGTGGAAAGTAGGAGAAAGTTTGGGAGGCAAACTTGAATATGTTCAATGTCATTTGTAAAATGTTTAAAAAATGCTGTTGACCTAAGAAAAATAACTTTACAAATGTATGCTTCGACAAACAAGAAAATGGATTTAAAGGAAATTTTTCCCCCGGATTAAGCATGTCATCATAAAGCATGCGTTAATTACATAATATTGGCTCATAAAGGCCTTCTAGATGTATTAACGGATACTCAACAAACACATTTTCTTTAAATCCATTTCCTTATTTGTTTGTCGAAACATGCATTTGTAAAGTTATTTTTCTTAGGCCAACAGCGTTTTAAACATTTTACAAATGGCGTTGAACGTATTTAAGTTTCCCTCCCAACCCTTTTTCTACTTTTCACTATCTTTTTTTTTCGGTCCTCAACCCCCACCCCCTATAAATATCAGAAAAATTTAAATTTTAGAACCAGTCTCGCGTTGATAATGGCCACGTTTGACGTCCGCTCAGTAAAATTGTGTTAGTGGTAAATGGGGTGAATCTCCTATTTTATTTATTTAAAGAAGCATTATCGGAAGTAACTGTCTACCTTAAACTACTACACTTAATCGTGACTCAGATTTCATTGATTTAATGGAGATGATATAAGATTACAAGAAAATTTCATTATGAATATTTATTAGTCGAGTTTGTTTTTATTGAATATACCTTAACCAATGAAAACACAAAAAGCAGACAACAAAAATGTGGCTGTTATGTAATTAAATGCACATTTACGTATAGATTATATGTGTAAAAAAGCACTATTAAGAAATGGTATCTGCTTAATGTCTATTTCGAAATCGTACTTTACTTACTTGATTTAGGTCGACTTCTTGATAATGACACCACTTTGTCATAAACTTCTTTTGTACTTTCGATCTTTTTTACCCACAAATTACATTCGTTCACACTCGTAGCAAGTAATGATATGATCTGATTGTCATAATGAATTCTTAAAGCTCTATTCGAATCTGTACCGTTTTCTAAAGAATCGGTGTTACACTTTACTACTTTTAAATCTTGTATTAATATTGGCTAAAAGAAATGTGTAAAAAAATTTTAATTTGAAAACTGTAAAATGTCTTACTTGTCTGTATATTTTGTATACTATGTTCCCACTTTTGCTAAAATTGAACTGACTTGAACCAATTGCCTTGCTTGGTTGAATCAACATAAAAAAGTCATTAAATAAAATTCCCACCAGTTCTTTTCCACTTTTCACCTAAAAATATGTAAATGTAGGTTATCGTATTACTTTCAATTGCTTTTACCTTCGTTAATACTCCATGATGAATTAATTTTCTTGGACCCAATTTATTTGTTATACTATTAAATACTATTTTCAAATCGTTACCCAATTGAACATTATTTTGCAACCATTCCAATCGTTCTTCATTCTCCCTTAGTCTTACATTTTCGTTAAGTCTTTTCAGAAACACGTCAGCTACTCTTTGTGCTTCGATTAAATATTTATAATCTACATACAAGAAACAAAAATTACTCATTTTTAAATATGTAAAGATGAAATAATACCTGGATGAGTTTCATGAGTATTTTCTATAATTTTACTAATTAATAAGGGGTATCTCGTGATCCTCTGCATTGGCTTGATTAAAAATGAACTAAGAGGCATCCCTTTGGTTGATCTATGACTTTGGCACCTTTTTACTACATCTCTAAATGATGCTGACGTTTCAGTTAATTTTTGTAAAAGTGTGGCGCTTTCTAGCTGTTTACTGCAGAATGTTATGTAAGCTGTCATACGAGGCAACTAAAATAAAATAAATGAGGTAAATAGTAGACAAAGAAATTACGAAATTATAACTTTGATTTTTTTGCTAATTGGCTACAGGAGAAAAGAGAATAAGTTCAATATTTTACAAAAATTGAAATGAAGGTGTAAATCTATGTACCATGAGTAATAAAGTAATTAGTATAATTATATAGTTTAATGTGTATTTTTTCTAATCCAGAATTAAATTTTTAACATGGTTTTATGTTTTATGGAAACTTGTCGAGTTAAAAATTAAATACAATAGTTGATAAGTTCCATCATCATCCAATCGTTTTCTTACTTCATGCCTAAGGTTTATATATATATATATATTCAATAAAACATATATATTACAAAAAAAATATATCATCAATTGTTATCAAAAGTAATAATAAAAACTTACATGTGTACATATAATATCCCCGATAATATTACTATCTGACTCCCATCGTTCTAATAATTCTTTCAGAAAGTTTCTGTTGCATTCGAGAATGTCTTGCCAGTTTACAAATATAATATTAACTTCTTCGTTTGTAATTATTTTACTTTGTTTCAATGGCAATTCGAAAACTTCATGTACAGTTGCCATATCATTAATGTATGCTTTTTCGGTTTGTATCAATTCGTTAATTGCATCTCTTCTTACTTTTTCTTGAGGATCATTTGCTTAAAAAGTTATTAATAGCAAAAATAATAAAATATCAGCTTAATTGCAGCAGTTTGTTCTTGCTTTTAAAATTAAGATACAGAAAATTGTTATAATTGGAGTACTTAAATAAAAATCATTAATTAGGGGTTAGATGTGGTTTATTTTTTCAACAGTTACTTATAGGTAATATACGATTGAAACAGTCATAGTTGGAAGCAAAAAGGGCAATCTTGTGAGTATAGTATATATATAATGACAATAATATTAATAATAATAACTTTCATATATTTTTATATATATACTACCAACGTTTAATTTCCTATTAGCTTGAAAAAAAAAACAACAAAAACAAATAACAATTGTATATAATAATAAACCGTAGTTTAATAGAGTGGGAATACGTCAAATTACAAAGAAAAACAACAAAAAAAAGAATAAATAAATTGAATACAGTTAAGCACCCACCCTATCAAACTTTACAGAAATAATTATTATTTTATGGAGAACGTTAAGCTTAAAGTTACAACGTCATCAGACGATGACGGTGGAAAATTTATTTAAAATAATAAAATTAATATCACACGTGCTCATAATTGTTTCCAGGCTAAGAACAATGTGAAAAATCGAGGCACACAAAACAGTATGTTGACTACGTGAAAACAGTGCACATTTTCTGTTTATTTAATATTGTACAGGGTTCATTAGACTGTAGTTGAATGTGAGGAGTATACTGTTTTATTTTTGTAGAAATTTGATAATTTGCACACCATAACGGTGCTAGGTGCTAGGTGGTGACATGTTGAGTTCCCAATGAAATTCAAAATCTTAAAAATATTAATTTCTTGTTCTTGTTCAAGTTATAGTTTGCTATTCACATGTTGCATTAAAAATTAATCTGATGTTATTAGAGGTTGTAGAAATAAAAGGAAGACATAAATTAAAATCTCTAATTATACATTAATGTAAATTAAGTTGCCCTATTGCAATATGTGTTTCAGTATTTAGCACAATTCTTGCAAAAATGTTTTATTTTAAAACAAATCGCTAATACTGCTTTCGTTGCTCTTACATTCTTTAGCGTTGGAGACAATAACGTCCAAATACCCAGCATACTAAATTAATGTTATGAAATCATCAAATCAACTACAAAACACACGAAATTCTGTTTAAAATAATCAATTACATTCAGATTGTAGTTTCAGAAATTTCTGTAATAAAAAGCATCGACTAGAAAGTAAAAATACTTGAAATGCAAAAACATAAAATTAATTATTAATATAGATAAAAAAAAATGGAACTTTAAGACCATAATAAATGTGTATGCAACTCGTCAAATCTCTACTTGTGGTAACTTTCTGACTAATTATATTCAACATCAAACAGTACAAACACCCTGCATATATGGCAGATCCATGTTTGCGGTTTTAAGCTATCGATAGGAGATTACTATTCTGATTTATTCAAATTTGGTACCTATGACTAAAATTATCATTATTAACGATATTTCCAATTTAATAATATGTATGCACGCATTTTCGTTTTAAATGTGAACTTGACATACATACAGCTTCGTTTGATAGAATGGGTGCTAATTCATTCCTGAAAGAAAATTATTAAATAGAAAATTATTTAACTCGAAAATAATTATATTGTATTCTTATTCATATTATTAAAAGCTACCCGAAAACGTTGTAATTAATTATTCGTATTCTTCATTAAAATATGAATGTGTTTGGATTTAATTTTATTGCGTTTTAAAAAGTTTAATTATATTAAATAAATAGTAAAAATACTTACATTGAGTGAGAGGTGCTACATAATTACTTGGAAATAAACCGGATACTCCATTCAGTTCCCCTCTCCACCAAGAAGGCTCTTCGCGGGCCGTGATACTAATAATATCATCTTTTAAAAAGCTCAGTTCGTCAGGATTAGCAGCAGTATATGGGAAGAGGGCAATTACTTTATCTACAAAGAAATAGTTTTGCCTTACGCAATTCTATTTTAATATGAATTAAAAAAATTAATGGGTGTTCTCTTTAAGAAAAATTTAAAATATAATTTTCTTAATCGAGAATCCAAAATCCTTTCTTGTATTTCCTACAGACACACTGTATATTTTTACAAAATTTTATCGGGGACAACTATGAAAATAGATAACTTTTTTGTTGTATAATAATATAATATTAACATTTCTGGTGAATGTTAATGATTGTTACTGTGTATTAGTTTGACCTATGACCTATGCATAGGTTTATGTTATATGCATATATGCTATTGCGGATTTGTATCAATCGATTTTTTTAGTATGTAAAATATATATAAATATGTAAATATAAATAACAAATTCAACATTACCTATGACAACTTCTTGCTGCATTCTTGTAGTCGAGACAGGTGTGGTCCTACCGCTCATACGTCCACTGCTGTTTAAAATTTTTACGTAGCTGGCCGGGAACCATCCAACTTGTCGCCTTTTACCTTTTGCCTGAAGTTCACCTTCCCACCAACCAGAATCTGTTTTCTTTCGAACCATTATTAACTGACCTCTTGCTAATGACAACTGTTCAGGACTCGTGGCTTGGTAGGGAGCTATTACTGACGCAATCTCCGGCTTCTTACTTCCTTTCAATGCCTAAATAAGAACACATTCTTTTCTTTGCCACTATTAACAAACAATGGCATAAACTACATTTTTAAGAATATTAAATCCTTTGTTTACCGTTATTAACAAACAAAAAAATAAATTGATAAAATACTTTAAATTATGTCTTCCATTAAATATTTTAATTTTGCTTGGAGAAATCTTTAAACGCGTTAATAAACATACTTACTGGAGTTGTAGATGTTTCATTAATTTTTTCGCTAGGTTTATTTTCGTTAATTTGAGAAACTTCATTGTCCATTTGAGAAGATGTATTTTCTTGCTGTGTGCCGAAAGATGGAGGCGTTGAAGCAGCAACGTTAGTAGGAGCAGCAGTGACAACGTCTTTGTTATTGTTAGCATTCTATTTTATTACACAAAAAGTTAATGTTTTAGGTACTGAACAAAACCAATCAATACAAAGACAACACAAAAAAGCCTTTTTAAAATATTCCATATTGTGTATGTAATAACTGATACTTTTTTCTGTCTTACTAAAAAATTAAAATTTAAAACAATAAAATAACATCACAAATAGACACAGCAGCCAGTTAGTAAATAAATAAATTAACAATATACATACATTTAAAATAAATTTTTCTGGATATATAACACAAAAAAACTGTAAATAGATAAATTAGGCAATAGATATAATGTAAAGTAATTTGGAGGGAAAATAAAACACAGATTATAAACGTTTGCAGAATGATGTAATGATTAACAAAATTAAAGATTAATATTATATGGGTAAAAACTTACCGGATCGTATTTCTGGACATAATTGCTAGGGAAAATCCCAACTACATCTCCTAATTTTCCTGTCCACCAGTCACCTTCCTTTTTAACCACCGTTATTATATCGCCTGCATTGAAACTCAAATCTCCTTGTTCTATAGATTGATAGGGGAAGTTTGCAATACAATATTCTATAGGACCTTCTGGAAGAGACTCGGCAGGAGGAGGGATATCTGAAGTAGGAGCTGGTGTGACAGTAGTTTCCTCGATGAATTGTGAAAATGTTGAAGAAACTTCTACTACTTCCGGAACTTCTTCAATTTCCCTGATTGAATAAGTAATAAGTTAATTTAATCATTTGAAAAAATAACAGTACAAAAAGTAATTCCAGTGAATTCAATCACTGAATAGAAAAGATGCTATTTTTAAAAAGAATTGCTCACTCTAGTCTCTTGCTTTCCACTTCCGGTTGTTGTACAGCAGTAGGGGTTTCTGTAGACGATGGAAATGCTGCCCGTACGCCAATTCCATCCAAAGGTTCGACGTACGATTCAGGAAACCATCCGGTATTACCACGAAGTTCTCCAGCAAGCCATCCCGGTTCTCCGGTTTGTTCATATGGCACCTAACGTGTATACAAATTATTGGAGTAGAAACACTGCGCGTAATTTTGTAAAGAATTCTCTTAAAAACTATTGTTTTCGATTTTTTCGTACACCCAACTTTAAATTAAGAATCTATAAAACAATGTAACATAAAAATGCTTTACGATTCAGAAAGGATTTTAATAATTAATTCTACGATAATTATTATGTCTGATACACCATAAAGCATTTTATTTTATTTATACTTATTTATTAAATGTTTCACAAAAGTATTTTATATACTTTTCATATAATTACCTACCCAAATAATTAACTCTACAATCATTATATGCAAATTGTATTGCAATAAATAAAAAGATTTAATGAGTCGCCTAACATGTTTATTTTGTAATTAAACACAATGATCTCTATGACTCCCCCTCCTTGCATGCAAACCTGACTTCAACAATAATAACTTACATTTACAATATCTCCCGGTTGAAACGAAATTTCGTCCATGTTCCTGGCAACAAATTCATACAAAGCCCTGTATTTGCAAACAGGTACGGTAAGTGTAGTTTCTGTGTCGGTTTCTGAAGGTGTGCTTTCCCATTTATTAACGGGCCATTCTGTTCCTGTGTCTCCCCACCCTCCTTCTTTCCAGGTGGAATCAGTATTGCGAACATTTTTCATTTCGAGAACTTTGTCTCGTTTATTCTCATAAACTGAATACAAATTTTCGCAATCATTTACTAACTGATTTAGCTGAGAACGTAATTCGCTCAGTTGTGTGTTATTATTTTCGATGTCGGACATTTTCGTTTCGATCTGTTTTTGCATGTCATCAATTTTTTCTCTTAAGTGCTTAATTGTGATTTCTTTATTTTCAAACGCCTGTCGATCTGCTGCACTCTGCTGTTCGCTTCCCATCTGGAGATTTAGTTTGTTTTTAGCATCCAATTTTGCCTTCTCTTGTGATAAAGCGAGCAATTTTGCATTTTGCTCTTTCAGTTTGTTTTTTAGTTGTGACATTTCTTGCATTTGTGCATCACGGGTTGATCTCATTCCATCAATGGTAGACTTAACGTTGGACACACCTACACGGGTATCGCAAATTTTCTGTGACAATTCTTTCACATGATCATTCAAAGACGAAAGTTCAATCGTTAAACTTTGGTTTTTAGCTTTCATTTTTAGCACCGTTTCTTGCTCACGTTGCCGTTGTTGCTGAAGTTCCTGAATATTTATTTTTTTTACAGACTGAACAATAATTGAATGTTTAATTTTACTTACTTGTAACCGTTGCTTTTCCCATTCAAGTTGTCTCTGTCTTTCCATTTCTCTCCTGGCTGCTTCTCGTTGTTCGTTCTGCCTTTTCCTTTCTTCTTCTTTTAATCTTTCTTGCTCCTGTTGCTCTCGCATTTGTTTTTCTAATTCCTCCATTCGTTTACGTTCTGCCTCTAAACGCGCTTTTTCTCTTTTCTCTATTTCTTCCCTTTCTTTTCTTTCCCGTTCCTCGGCCTCTTTACGTTGCTGTTCTAATAACGTTTTGCGCCTACGCTCTAATTCAGCCTGTCCTTTTTCAAAGTTTTCTTTACGTTTGTCCTCAAACGAACTAGTCAAAAGAGTGGATGCAGGATCTTGTTCAGGCTGAGCACTTCCTTGGCTTGAAACCGAGTTTGTTCTGGGTCCTTTTCGAAATGAAGGTGGGATTAAATCAGGCGGCAATTCTGTAGGCGGTTGTATTCCTTGTTGTGCCTGTTCACATAAATGCATTGCCAACACAAATTCTTCGCAGCCCAGTCTTCCATCAGAGTCCATGTCTGATAAAGCCCTGTGAGCAATGGTTATTGCTCAAAATAAATTTAAGATTAATATACCCAAAAACCTACCAAACTTGCGCCAGTATGTTCTGAGGCAATTTTGTTTGCATCATGACATTCCTGGCTTGAGCTCCTGATAAATATCCTGATCGCGATCTATCTGCAGTATTAAACATTTGAGTATATTTCAATTTAATATGATGAGGTACTGCCCATTCAATTTGTCTATAATCAAAGAAAACAATTGAATTTTATTACGAAAAATAAAAAGAATTAGGTGAACTCACGGAGACTCAAGAGAAGCATTTCTATCAACACTACCAATGCTAGCTCTTGGTGTGCTCGTGGCAGAAGGTCCTCCTGATGGTGGAGCGACTGCTGAAACTGTAGCAACAGCAGTTGTGCTATTAGAAATTCCAGGAATTAAGGGAGTAGATGTTGTACTGGGAAGAGCACTGTGAATAAGAGGTGCACTTGAAACTGTAGGCATTACAGGCACTACAGGGGCACTTGTAGCAAATGCTGTTGCATTCGGCAATGTTGTTGACATGATGGGCATGCTTGGAATTGGTGGGGGTCTTAAATTTGTTTAAAATCAATTAGACATTAATTATAAATACCTTACAACAATAAATAATCTTACCCAACAGATAAAGGTATGGATGTAACAGTACTTCCAGAAATAAGAGGGGCACTTCCTTGAATAATTCCTGCAGCAGGAAGAGGAGCAGTACTAGTTTGTGCTGTGGCCATTGGAATATTTGCAACTGGTGGTATTACTGGTATAACAGGTTTAACTTGTTGCCCCATGAGAGGAACAACTGGCTGTGAAATTAAAGTAGGTACCATAGAGGGTTGTATGTTAGGTAAAGTATTTTGCATGGGATTCACTATACCAGTAGGAATATTTGTAGTAGAAGTAAGGTTTGATAAGAGAGTTTGAGATGGAATAGATGATGGCACTGAAGGTAGTTGATTTAAAAGTGTTGGAATTTTTTGTTGTTGTGCTACTGATGGTAAAGGGGGTATGGGTGGAGCTTTGTACATTTGTAGAGATGCCACTAATGTTGGTGGCAGTACTTTCGGAACTTCAAAACCTCTCAATGTCAGATTAATTAATTTACATGCAATAGAAAATTCATTGATGTCCATTTTTCCATCAGAATCTGTATCAGCCAATGCCCTAAAAGAATAAATCAACATAACTTCATTGTGGGCAAAAAAGATACAGGAAAAGATTATTAATAGTAAAAGAGAGATATGCTGGTAAAGGTTGAATAAATCAACAAATATATTAAGGGGGCTGCAAATGTGAAAATATAAACAGAAATACTTCAAATTGTTATAATTTAATTACCCACACAAACTAGAAATTGTAGACTATAAAATAACCAGGTCATCAAGACAAAACTTACCATATTTGTCCCAAAACGAGTGGAGGCAATTGTGACTTTAAAAAAAATTCCTTCGCTTGTTCCCCAGTAATTATACCATTTGCTGGTTTTAATGACTTAAACTGTTCTTCATACCTTGCTCTTTCTCGAGCAACTATGACCCAAGGGTCACTAGAAGGTGTACCAGCTGCTGACATCATTTTGGTTGCAATTTATATAATAATCGTTTTATTAAACGTTACAATTTTTCCTAAAAAGTTATTTAATTTTTAGTGACTATGAGTACTGAGTATTGATTATTGTAATTCAAAATGTCAAACCTGCAGATTTATTTTGTTTTATAACCAATTTATAAATTGAGGATTTTTTTGTAGGTGAAGTTATTTTCATGATAAACAATTCAACATAATTTCTATTAACAAAATCATTTTAAAACAGTTATTCACACACTTCTTCGTAGAAATTTATACCGTATATAACCACAGAATCGCCCAATCTCTACCACGTCTGTATCAGTCTCATACCAGTCCAGTCTATACCTTTTTCCATATCACCTACGCCACCTACTCCACTTTTTACTGACTTTAGGAGTGAATAGTTAAGTAAACTTATAATAATGAATTGAAAGATTTATACAATATAATAATAATAATAGGAAATCGATGTTCATGGATTTTAAAAGTGTATATCTATAACTTTTTAAAAAGTTTTTTGTTTGTAATAAAGCAGAGTTATAGTCTTGAACGAATCCACGAATCAAAAGATGTATTACTTCTAGTTCTAGATGATCTGTGGAAGTCAGTTGCTACAGATCATGCTTAACCAACATTTTTTTGTGCGTGTTCACCCTTAATAAAGTTTGGTATAGTTACTTTTTATTAAAATAATAAATTAAAACAATTTTATTGATATTATAAAAATAAACGATTTGTTGCTTAGACTCTAGTTCAAACTTAGTTCAAATGGTTAGGCTGTTCTTCTAGCCCAAAAAGTATTTACACAATTCCTTATACATACACAATAACCCCATAAGTAATTTATTAAAGTTTCTTAATAAGTAGGTACCTTATATAAAGTTTTGTGGTTCACTTTTATGTTTAGTGACCCCCTCAACTTAAATTACGTTAACGTAAGTATTTAAATAATTAATTTTAAAATTTGTTAAGTGTTTATTAGTTACTTAGCCACCTGTCTGTTTTTGCTAAATTATTACTTATGTAGCTAATGTGCTTTAGTGGTTCTACACTTTTTTCTGCATATATGTTTGTTCTTTAAACTATGTATCATTCAACAAATATATCAATTAATCAATTGTAATTCATTTGCTTAATAAAAGATATGAATAATTTTTCCAATTGAGTTCAAATGGATATGTGCCAGTTGATAGAATAAGAAAACTATCTTGTTTTGTGTTTAAGTGAGTAGGGTATATGATAAAATTTAAATAGATAATTAATTATAGTTTTTATTATTTAGATACATATCATTATAATTACTTGCGAGTCTGAAACATTTTAAAATATATATCATTGTATTAAAACTTACCAATTTTCTTGTCTGGTAAGGTGCTGTTAATACATAAATGATTGTATTTTAAAGTGTAAAATTAACTATAAACTTGAGTTTAGGAGCTTAAAGTATTTGTTTAACAAAAGTATTAGGTATAATTTCTAGTATAAAAGAAATTTTTCTTTAAATTTATACTTAATTAATTTACAGACTGTCTGAACTAAATAATGGGATATGATGATGTAGTTACACTATTGGGAGATTTTGGAAGGTACCTACATTTTATTCTTTGATTATATTGTCATATAATTATCGTTTCTAATTTCTTACAATTTTATTTAGGTACCAAAGGAGAATTCATTTTCTCTTATGCCTTCCTGCAATTGTATGTGCTTTTCACAAGATGGGAAATGTTTTCTTATTGGCAGAGGCTGATCATAGGTATGAAAAATTAAATACATATGTAGTAAAATCTCAAAGAAATATTTAATCAAAATTTTAAAAACTATTTCCTCATATTGTACTTTTTATTTTCTCATTTCCAAAATAACATCACATATTTTTTGCAAAAATAGAATAATTTCATACAGAAATGTTCATAATCTTTATATTTTTATTTACCGACATTCTTTCTTATAGATGTTTTTTAGACAAATATCCAAATTCAAGTTTCATTTTATCAAACGAAATTTTAAACGCTTCAATACCATGGGAAGAAGAAAAACGGAAATACTCTTCATGCTCGATGATATCAGGTGATGCTATAGTACCTTGTAAAAAATACGTTTATGATCATAGGAAATACCAGAGCAGTGCAATTTTTGAAGTGAGTTTCTCTTATAAAACTATATTTCCCAAATAAATTTTGCTTTATATTTGTTGTAGTGGAATTTGGTTTGTGATAAAGCATCATTTTCTGCAATTGGGGATGCCATTTTTATGGTGGGCGTGGGTCTAGGATCTATTATATTTGGATATCTTTCAGACAAGTTCGTACATGTTTTATCATATATTTGGTACCAAAAGTTCATTTGAGATGAAATTCTAATTTTTGTGATAAATTTTAGATTTGGTCGTAAAATAATATTCTTCATGTCTTTGGTAGTACAACTTTTGTTTGGAATTATTTGCGGTATTGCTCCTGAATTTTGGACATTTACATTGTCTAGAGCCATAGTCGGAGCTACGACATCAGGGGTATTTTTAGTAGCTTACGTCATAGGTACATATAAGTTCCATATTATTTATTATTAATTTATTTAATCTTCTCGGCATAGGAACGATTATAGTGTGATGTCAATAAGGAAATTTAAGGTTGTAAATTCTTAAAACACTTAAAAAAAGATAGATAAATAGTTTATTTACTGGCTCAACAATATTGTCCAGGCAGAACCATTATAAAGGGTACCTATTGTGCTACTCTAGTAGTACATAAATTGGCGAAACTGTCCTATCCAATTTGTGTTATCCCTTAAGTGAATTTACATCCTTAGATTTCATTTACATCATGTTTCACAATCAGTGCACTAAAGAAAGTTTTAATAATTTAAGAATGTTTTTATTTATTTACTTATTGATGATTTTATTATGTATAGAGATGGAGCAATTTTTTTATTTGGTATTGAATAAGAAGCTACAGAATAAATTTAATTTTGTATCAGTATTGTTAATGACAACGCTTCTCTATTTTATTTAATTTTTGTTAATAAGAACCGTTTAATTTGCTAATTAACTTTGCTTCGTGTTTACTAACAAAGTAGGTATGTTACATGATAGTAACGAAACGTTTTTGATTGAAAACTGAAAATCCAATGATTTAATTAAAAGTTGACAAACAATAAAATCGATACATGTTTTACAAGTATGTATATTGATTTCCCCATTTGCCAGCTTTTAATTAACTCCCTGTGTTTTCAATTAAAAAGCATTTTTTTCTATTACCTTGCGACATCTGATAAAGTAAAGCAAAATATTTTTTGATATTTAACATTAGAAAGTAATAAAAGTCAAGAGTTTAAGAAAATTTGATGTGAAAATCTGAAAATTAGATGTCATAAATAACGAATTAACGATAATAATATGAACTAACGTTTTAAGCATTAGAAATGGTGGGGCCTACTAAAAGAATGGTAGCGGGCACTGTTTGCCAAATGTTTTTCTCAACTGGCTACATGTTAACTGCTGCTTTTGCATATTACATAACGGACTGGCGAAATCTTCAGATAGCTTTAACAGTCCCCGGAGTGTTTTTCTTATGCTATTGGTGGTAATTAGGAAACTTTACTTTTAAAATAATTTTTGGATATTAAACCGAAATATCTTCGTTTTGAAGGTTTATTCCTGAATCGGCAAGGTGGTTAGTTTCGAAAAATAGAGTGCCTGAGGCGGTAAAATTAATACAGAAAGCCGCTAAAGAAAATAAAGTCAATGTGTCTGACCAGCACATAGAAATGCTTTTAAAAGACGATATAAGATCGAAAGATCCTAACGTTAAAACCGCCACTATCTTTGATGTCTTCAGGCATCCGAATTTAAGGCGGCGATCACTTATAATATTCTTCGATTGGTAGGTACAGTTGACAATGGCATTTCATATTTTTGTCTGATATGTTACAGTTAAATACCTAGTCGTAGAGATCTTAAATAACCTAATAATAAAATGTAATTTGTATTAAAGGTTTGCTAATAGTATGACATATTACGGTCTATCTTGGAATACAAAAAATTTAGGGGGAAATGATTATCTAAATTTTGTGATTTCCGGAGCTGTTGAAATACCCGCATACACTTTCTTACTCTTCACATTAAACAGATGGGGCCGTAAATATTTATTATGCGGCTGTATGATTACAGCAGGAATTGCCTTAATTCTTACTATGGCTGTGCCAAATTGTAAGTTATTTATTTATTAATTAAACAATATAAACTCTGCTTCTAATTGATAATAATCCTGCAGCTCATCAGTGGTTAGTAGTTACATTAGCAATGATTGGAAAATTAGCGATCACGTCCAGTTATGGTACAATTTATGTTTTTTCTACCGAACAATTTCCAACTGTTATTAGAAACGTTGGACTTGGAGCAGGCTCAACTTCAGCTAGAATTGGATCTGTGTTTGCGCCTTTAATAAATTTTACAGTAAGAATCATTTATTCCTGTTTGACATCTAATTTTTATTTATTATACTCAGGTAATTTAACTTAATAGCCTTACAAGAATTAATTTTTCAATATCCTGATTATGCCACATTGTTTTTATCTTAGGCACAGTCTTTAATTGTCTTATACGCTACCAACTGAAGATAATAGGGCGATAAGGCTTTTAACGTAGGTGCTCCCAATTTTTGTTTTCTTAATTACATAACTATCTAGCTTTAATGTATTAATTATCCAAAATATTTATTGTAAATTTAAATTAAATTAGAGTGTGGCGTGGAAGCCATTGCCAATGGTAATTTTTGGATGTATGGCTCTTATTGGAGGTTGTTTGTCCTTAGTATTACCCGAGACCCTTAATAGGAAACTACCAGAAACTATCGAAGATGGAGAGAATTTTGGGAAGAAGTAAGTTACACTGTTTATAATGCTTTGCTTTGATGTGGTGAAAATAAAAAGCTTTTAGCCAATTAGTTAAACAGATTTAGAACGTAGAAGCAGTGCCGAAGGTTAGTTCAGTACAACGGATATTTATTTCAGAAAAGTGGAAACTAAAGTAACACTTGAAGAGATGCAAGAATTAAATGCAGTAAAAACTGTAGAAGACTTGGAAGGTGGTAACTAATGACTAAACGCACAATAATTTATAAATACTTGCATTTAGTAATGTTGCATTGAATGGAGTTTATTCCTGAAGGTCATTTTTCTTGTTTAATTTAATTTTGGAAAGTAAAAGATTTTTTGTGTTCAAGCTACAAGGTGTTTTAGATAAGTCACTTTTTACTGCAAATTTTAAATAATGTTGAGTTCAAGTCAAAGACATTCCACAATTTTATTCGCGTCTTTAAGTATAAAAATCGGCAACAAATATTCAGTAACTTATTTAGTTTTAATTTAAAGTATTTAAGGTATAATTTCAGCAGATCTATATATTAATGATGGTACGTATATGTCACTTTTTACATAATATTGTGAAAATATTGTTAATATAAATAGGATAAATAATAACCACCAATATGTTCACGGTAGCAACCAATCGCCATTACAAGTACAAGAAAAATATATGTGCTTTCCTTTGTAATTTCTGTTTATAACAAACTGTAATGGTGGTCAGTATGTAAACTAAATGAATGTATAACAGAAGACATGTTCCAAAAGATAAGCAAATTATTTGAAACACCTTGTACCTTATATGTACCTATTGGGGTGGTCATTTTTCCATGAGTTTGGTAAAACCAAATTGAATCTCTTTGAAAAATAATCACCTTGTGTGAGATAAAAAATTGTTGCTACGGTTTTATATTATTATTTATTATAATATCGAAGTTTGTCATTAATAAACAAAGACTAGGCCCGGTATTTCATGTAGTTAATAATTTTAAAAAATGCACACATTTTGCAGAGTATTACACATTATAAGAAAAAAATTATGTTGGATCTCAACACAGAAATTTTAAGTGTTTTGTACAATAAAACTCTTAAATCTGTAATGTGCATTTTAACCAGAAACTATTCAGTATTGTACGAACCAGAACTGCCAGAATAAACTAAAATATTCAGATACTTAAGAAAAACAAGTATAAAAAATAATATATTTCCATTTAAACCGGCGATAATGATGGTCAGACTTTTTAAATGTTTTTTTTTTGTTTAGTATGTTTTTTTTACGAACTTTACACCTTTTTGTTTATAAATGTTATTTAAATTATAGTTGAAGCCCTTATCTACTTTTTGGATCCAGTTTTATATGTAAAAAGCACAAAACAACTTAAGATTTTATTATAAAGTTTTTTGCATTACTTGTTATACTCGATTTTGGAGTATTTGAGTGTATGTACTTTTTTTAATAAATGGTGCTATGCATTAGGTCGTCTTTTATGTCACAACTCTATAAGAATACAGAATTCTTTTACCTAAAGAATAGATATGTGATGAAATGTTGTTTTTACAATACAATTGTGAAAAAAATTGTCCTTGTCAACTATAACCAACATATTTTTTTTTTCATTTTTATTATTTATCTTTAATTCTTGTTTATAATATTGACAATAGTTATAAATCTGTCAATTATTCGTATTACAAATGTTTCATACTTAGATTTTTATGTATTTATTTTTTTATTCAAAATTTTAAATTTTTTATAACCAATAATATGAATTTAAGATGTTTAAAACGTTTTGTAAGTGTTACTTTCAGCTTCCCACAGTAAATGAACTACATCTTTCATTATTTTGTAGAAATTGTCCAAGTTTAGGCTCAATTTTCAACGAAATTATGCATCGGAGATACAACAGAACACCAGAGTATGTTAAAAATTGTCATGTATTTTTTGTGTACATATATAATAAATCATTTTCTTCAGCCATATAAACTTCATAAACTGAAAGAACCTCCCAGTGCAAAATCAACTTTAAAAAAAGAAGAAGCGCTAACGTACTATCGACAAATGCAAGTAATTCGTAGAGTAGAGGCCGCCTCGAGTGCTCTTTATCAAGCGAAACTTATTCGAGGTTTTTGTCATTTATATTCAGGGCAGGTAAGCTTGAAACTACATATATATATAATTAATATATCGATTAATTATTACACAACAGGAAGCAGTAGCTGTTGGTATGAAGGCAGCTCTTCGACCAGATGACAAAGCGATTACGTCATACCGTTCTCATGGTTGGACATATCTCTTTGGTGCAACTCCTTTAGAAATTCTTGCTGAGCAAACCGGCAAAAAAACTGGTTGCCAAAGAGGTAAAGGCGGATCCATGCACACATATTGCAAAAATTTTTATGGAGGAAACGGTATTGTTGGAGCACAAGTAATAACATAGCCTCACGCTCTTTATTTAGTAGTCTGTCTTGATTTTTTTTTGTAAGAAACCCTTAAAAAATATCCAGTTTCTGTTTGTTCCCCTTTTTACTCTAAAAAAAAAAAAACAACTGACATCTTACAAAAAAGTATCCATTGACTAAAAAAATCTGCCTTAAGAAAATTTAGACCAAAAGGAGAGATGTCGGTTGACGATTTAGAAAATACAACTCTTTTTGCCCCTACAATGGTTTTGATTTTACATGTAATCTAAAAAAACTTCTAACGCTTCTGAACCTGTCTCTTACAATTAGTCAAAATTTCTAGTATAAGTAGGTAATCGTCCCTTTATAAACTAGTTGCATCTGTTTGACTACTCTGGTGTACTACGCAGGTTCCTTTGGGTACTGGCATATCTTTTGCATTAAAATATATGGGTTCGGACGCTGTCTGCATCACTCTTTATGGAGATGGTGCCGCTGACCAAGGACAAATTTTTGAATCCTTCAACATGGCCTGCTTATGGAAATTACCAGCCATTTTCGTATGTGAAAATAATGGTTATAGTATGTTTTATTCCCTAACACAAATCCACTGTTAAAAGTATGCGTTTGTAAGGTATGGGAACAGCAGTTCACAGACATGCAGGAAATCCTAATTTTTACACACGCGGTGATTGCCTTCCTGGCTTATGGATGGACGGTATGGACCTTATGACTGTAAAAGAAGCTACTAAGTATGCGATGAAGTATTGTAAGGAGCACGGACCAATTCTTATTGAAGCTGCAACTTACAGGTAATCAAATAATGCCTTGTCTGATGTTGGCCGAGGTTAATGAATTAAATAACGTTAGTGTTCCTTTTAAAGATATTTTGGACATTCTTTGTCTGACCCTGGTACAAGTTACCGAACAAGAGAAGAAGTGGCAGAAGTAAGAAATAAACGAGATCCAATTACGAATTTCAAAAATATTATCGTTGATGGTGGATTAGTCACTGAAGACGAAATAAAGGTAAAATTAATTATCAGAAATAAACAACCATTCAACTTTCTTTATTGTCTGTTGTAGAAAATAGATGATGATGTTAAAACAGAAGTAGACAAAGCAACAGAACAATCAAAAACTGATCCGGACGTTGGCGTAGATGAATTAGTGGCGGACATTTATTCAAATAATCTGGAACCGTTCATCAGGGGTGTTACACCATTTCAACCTCTTCAGCATAAAAGAATAGGAAAAGCTATAAACTTGAAATAAAACACTATTAGTGTTAACTATTTTTCTCATCATGCGTTTCATAAAATGTTTGCCACATAACTTAATGAATTGAAAAAGTAAAAGTATATTTTAAAAAAACAAATAAAATTTATTGCTTTCTGCAATAATACACGACACAACAAGAAAATTAAAATTTAATTCTTTTATAAAACTTACTGCAAAACGAAGCTAGTAAGTGTTCATTCACTTTTTTTTTTTTTAATTTAAGACTCAAACAACTTAAAACAAAAAAAGTGATATAAAAACAAATTGTACAAAAACTAAAATAAGAGTAACTAGAAAAAAACAAACCAAACTTTGAATCCTTATAAAACACTGTCGTACAAAATAAAAATAAATTCTGTAAGAAAAAACAAACCAATATTCGCTAATATCGCTGTGACAAATAAAACGTAAAACTAAAAACTTGATTAACATATTAACAAAGGAGGCGAATTTAATGATTAGGTATTTGAAACACTACATTACAAAACTCGCAATTAAGTTACTTTTTAACTTATTACTAATTTTCTGTTGAGGAAGTTGCACGTATTCCTAAAAATTTAATAAAATGTTAATGCAGTTTTATGGTTTCCATTTGTAACATTCTTTACCTTTTTGTAAGGAACTTATCCAATCCTTGACTTTCTGGACATATTCTGTATCACAGTCTTCAGTAAAAAGTTGACAAATTTTTTGCACTAAAGAAAAAATTGCCAGTAAGAGTGGTGCTTGTGTTACTGCACTGATAAAAGGAATGACGGTATTTTTTAGTTTCTTCATTACCCACGATTTATCGGAGTATTTACATAACAATAAAATTTCGTATTGTAATGACCAACTTGGAACTTCTACAGAAAAAAATTATAATCAGAAAACTGTTCCAAAAAATAAAAACTAAACAAAAGCGTTTCTTTTTTGGAACAAAGATTTAAAAACGTACACACCTTTGTATTTATTGAAAAGATCTTCAAATACATTATCATCAGTGCCCAATTCTTTATATTTATAATATTGGGTTATTAGACTTTTTAAATTGGCGAAATTATAGCCAGGCTTGTTGCAATTCTTTGACATGACTACTTTCAATAATGTTTTTACTATAGGTACATCTAAAACAAAAAAAGAGAAGTGATTAACGGTATAAATTAGTATTAGAAGTTGTAATTAACGTGGCATTATGTAATCTAAAAAGAACATTAATTGGTTACTTTCGCTCTGAGAGGCCACAGGAATAATTTCTGTCCATGATGTAAGGACAATAAATAAAAATGGTACTGCCAGGTCGCCCATAAAGTAGACAGCGTCACAGCACATTCTACGCATCCTTTCTTTGTCACGCCTCAATTTACAAATGGTCAGGTAAATTCGCAAAACCGGCGATATTTGCGAAAGCTTCTTTTCAACTAATAACTTTGCTTCTGCCTTTATCAAAAACTTTTCGCAAACTTTTACATTTCTTTTCTCCAGTGCCATCATCAAACCTAATAATGTTCTTTGTATTGGGGTTAGGAGTGGCGCAGGTGGTGTATATTTGGTGTCTGGCTGGTCGTATATATCTTCGTTTAGTTTTCGAAGAATTACCCTGTAAAAAATTAATATTTTTCAATCCAATTAAAAAATTAGGAACAAAATCATTTCAATATTTGCATAATTTAAAGTTTATATATGAATAAAGCTTGAAAGTAAATTTGCACAATTTCTTCAGAGCGAGCCTACGACAATTGTTTCGCTACACAGTAACTTCTTCAAGTGACTGACTGTTATACAAAATATACCGAATAAAAAAAAATATTAAGAACCGTTTTAAAACACGTAGATAATAAGCATAACAAAAAATTCTTACTTGGCAATATAAACATCTTCCTGGCCATAAAATTTATTTACCACTTCTTCAAGTATATGAGCTTCATTAGGAAAATTTATAAGTTTATTCAGAATTTCATTAGCGGCTTCTGAAAATATGATTAAAAAATAACTTATTTATTATGTTAACTGATTAAATTATACCTTTAGTGAGTTTTTGAGGTTTCTCTAATGGAATAATCTTTGGGTTTATAGAAGTTTGATCCATTTGATTTCCTTTGGCTTCAGGTGATGGCGATCGGGGACATGGGATAAATTTTAAACTACGCGAGGGTCTTTTATAAGAAGTTTTCCCTAATTTTTCTTTTTTTACGGTAGACAATTTTACGGAAGATCTAAGAATTTTTGCAGCTTCATTTCGTTTTGCAAGAATATCCACTGTAACACCTTTACTTTCAATTGGTTTTTTACTATTTTCTAAACGTGTTATTTTTATTGGAGGCTCTTCTTCCTCATTACAGCATTTATTTTTTAAAGGAATTCTTCTTCTTTTTGTACTATTACTCAAATGGCAAACAGTTGTTTTATTCGAGGATTTACTTATTGATTGAACTTTAAGCAGTCCTTGGTTTGATTTTTTTTTATCTTCTTTAACAGCATCAATAATTCCAGAATTATGAGATGATTTTATATTAATTCTTCCAAACTTTGCTTTAGATAATTTTTGTCGTAACAATTCTACCTTACTTTGTTTTTTCTTATTAACAGGATTTAATTTTTTCGTTTTTTCTTTATCTTGGAAATTTGAATTCAAAGTGTTATCTATCGAATTCGAATCAGTGTTTTGCGAAGTCTTTTCAAACACTTTGAAAACTGGCGAATGTAAAGCGGTCCTATTTTCAGAAGTGTATCCAGAATCAAGGCTCGTTAATTCAGAGTCATAAAAATGATTACTTTCATTGTTTTCTGGGTTATGACAAAATTGCCCTGAATTTTTATTTAAATCTGTTTGAATCATTTCCACTGAATTGACATTTTGTTTGCTATTTTTACGCATATCAACTCGCTCTTTATCAACGTTCTTTTTAATTTTTGCACATCTTCTCTGTTTCCTAATTATTACTGAAGATAGTGATTCGCTTGAAGATGAAAGACGTCTTTCGATTCTTCTAGTGTTGCTTTCGTTATATTTTGAAAGTAGTTGATTAAATGTTTGTTCTTCACTTGGGGAAATTATTTTGTTCTGACCTTCGATGTTACTGTTACTTAAATTAGTGCACATATCAATTTTTTTGTCGATATATTCTATCATTTTTTCAAAAACTTTGAAAATCATAGAATATGCATCTTCTGTAGTAATTTCTTTTTCATTTAAACTGTTTGTACTCATTTCCATTCCATCTACTTTAGATAACAATTTTTCTGCTTTATCTGTACTGCAATCGCCATTATTTGCATTAATATGTATTCCAATGCTGTTACTTAAGATATTTTCGCTTCTAACTGATGTATGCACTTCATCATCTTTATTTAGAGACCCAAAGTCTTTATTATTTTGTTCAGTTATGATAATTGTGTTTTCAACATGTACACCTTCGTTAGTAATTTTTTCAAATCCAAGAAAATCTGGACTAATTGACCGAGTGTCTTCAACACAACCCAGTTTCTTGGGTTCATCAAATTCCTCTTGTTCAACTAAATCAGAAGTTAATGACCTATTTTCAACATATATCTCTGTATGTTCCTTAATTTCCTCAAACCCTATGAATTCAGGACTTGTTGGTCTTGCATTGTAATAGAAGTAATAAGATTTGCACATGGAGCCTTTACATTTTTGTTCAAGATACACATTTTTTTGTATTATTTCAGAGCTGTTTCCATTTTCCGATTTAATTGGCGAATAACAAGGTTTCGTAGAAATATTAGAGATATTTTTAATTCTTGGGCCGTTCATTTGAGGAAGTTTATGGCATCTTCTGTAGTTCTTTATGAAGTTCTTAAGTTTCGTATTGTACTTAAACAGTTTTCTTATTTTATTTTTGCTTAATAATAACCCTTTTTGTGCTTTTAATGATCTCATTTTGTTAATATTGCAACGCTTACAAACATGCGATTTTATTTCACTTTTAGATTTCTCAATAGTAAATATATTTTCGAATTTTTGCAAATTTTCTGCAGGCGGTGTAGGCGGTATAATTTCAATAGTAGGTATATTTATGGGGTGAACCAAAACATTTTCTTCTAAATATTGTATGGAGTTATCTGCAAAAGTAAACTTTCAATAAATAATTTATAATCTTAAAACATGAATTAGCATCACACCTTCGAACTCAGATGACATACTAAATGGACTGATGGGTTTTGGTATAGCATGATCCCTAAATACAAATCCAACTGATTCAACTGATGAGGCGTCCTCATCTTCCGATGAAATGTCATTGCATTGAAATTGGAATGATTGATCAAAACAATCAGTTAATATTTCATTATGTTTAATACTAAAGTCCAAATTATTTTCAAGTACATTGTGTTCACTGAAATCATCTGTCTGAACAGATTGACAGCGAAATTCGGAATTATTTTTTTGAAGTTCTGTTTGTTCTAATTTCTTCCTAAGAGATTGCATTTCATCTTGAAGCAGTTTTTTCTCTAAAGAAAGTATACTGTAATTTTTTTCTAACTGCAGAAATTTTTCTTTGTACAAGTTTAATTCACCAACATGATTATTTATTAAGTTATATACATCTTCAATGTTTTCACTGGAAGAACTGGCTTCTCCAATGTGTAATTTTTCATTTATAAATGATATTAGTTTCTCATAATTATCACCCTAAAAGTGCAATACATAACAAAAAAGCCTTATACATTATACGTAAAAATTGTTGTTTGTTTTTAATATTCATTAATATACACCATTGACCCAAAGAAAGCAAAATAGACGCGAGGGTCTTTTATAAGAAGTTTTCCCTAATTTTTCTTTTTTTACGGTAGACAATTTTACGGAAGATCTAAGAATTTTTGCAGCTTCATTTCGTTTTGCAAGAATATCCACTGTAACACCTTTACTTTCAATTGGTTTTTTACTATTTTCTAAACGTGTTATTTTTATTGGAGGCTCTTCTTCCTCATTACAGCATTTATTTTTTAAAGGAATTCTTCTTCTTTTTGTACTATTACTCAAATGGCAAACAGTTGTTTTATTCGAGGATTTACTTATTGATTGAACTTTAAGCAGTCCTTGGTTTGATTTTTTTTTATCTTCTTTAACAGCATCAATAATTCCAGAATTATGAGATGATTTTATATTAATTCTTCCAAACTTTGCTTTAGATAATNGTTGTCGGCCATCATTCTTTTCTAATTGTTGCTGTTGTCGGCCATCATTCTTTTTCAATTGTTGTCGCATTGTCACTGATGTCGGCCATTATGGTTTTTAATAGATGTATAGTAATCAATGATTAAAATTTAAAGGAATTTATGTAATACTACTTTGCCCTGTGTTGATAGCACTTGTAATGTCTTTTATTTGGTTGCAATAACTATTCTACTTTTTTTTGTAAGTATAAGTACATTTAAAAAGAAATTATTGAAATTAACAGCCAATAATTAAGGCCTCTTTTGCACTTAAAAATTGATTTTTAACAGGTTTAATTGGTTTGATTCTCTAAATTTAGCTTCAGTTCCTCCTTAATAACGGATAAAGCAATACAGATTAACAAAAAACAAAACAAGTAGCAAATATAACTTAATTCAAACAACAGGTTCAGCAATAATAAGGTACATATTTAAAGGCGTCTTTTATTTTTGCTTACATTTAGTCCTTGTGATGACAGCTCACTAACTGGACCATTTCTCATAGGACAGCATCAAATTTAAACTGACTGGTTTCAATTTAAGAATAAAAACTTTCGCCTTTTACTAAACATTTTTTTATACTTATATAGGAAGAGAACAACGTATGTTTTATATTTTCAATATTAATTTTGAAAACAGTTAATTTTAGAAAATATACAATTAAATGTCTGTCTAAGGTTTTTATCGATTACAGATATGTTACTCAAAATTAAAAGAACACATCATTGATATACATAAGTACTAAAAAGGTATAAAATATTCTTTTTACAGATAATAATCATGACAAGAGTTGCTTTTTAGTAGAAATCTACTTACTTGATCCTTGTACTTTTCCATTGATTGTTCCTGCTCTGCAATTTTTAATTTCCTTATTAAGGTTTTATTTTCTTTCTCAAGAAACTTTATTAAGTCATTTTGTGTTTTCTGTTTTTCTTCTAATCTGGAAACTTTATTCTCATATTTTGTAACTTTTGCATTACAAATTTTACTGCATTCTTCTTGTGAAAGCAATTTATTGTCAAGTTCAGCTTTTAATTGTTCTATTTGTTTGTTAGCACTCTGATACTTTATTTGGATATCATTTGCATATTTGCCATGAGTTTTTTCCAATTCCTCATATGCAAGTTTTAATGTACGATATTTCTTTGTAAATGACTGATGATTTTCTATAGTTTTCTCTAATACTTTAACTTTCTCTTGAATTAATTTGTCATCTTTGCATCGTTTTGCATACAAATTGAGAAGTACTTGGTACTTGGCTTGATGTTTTTGGTTTTCTTGCTTCTTTTCAAGTAGGAGTTTTATAACTTCGCTACAATAAAAAAATGTCCATAAACAATTCTCTTGATACTCTTGCACTTAAAGCAGTATTTAACTTACTCAGTTTTTATGATCTTTTCCTTTATTAGGGATAAATCCATGTTTTTGTTACTTATCATCGTGAAAATCCTAACCTAAAAATGAGTATTACATTAAGTACCTACTGGCAAATTTGTTGTGTATACTTTTATTTTCATAACTGTTGTAAATTAATCGTACCTATTTTCCTTTTTTCATTTTAACACACTGTATAACTACATAACTTCGCTTATATTAACTTTTCACACTTTATTAAAAAATTCGTATCAATAACGTTCTCATGCCGGCATTCATATTCTGCAACCCCTCCAACAATAGTGTAACCATAGATAAAATACTATTATTATTGGCTCTGTACTAGTAACCATAGACAAGAAATGATCCACTATATACAAGAGTGGCAAGTATTTTATTAAACATTGGGATAATCTATCACATACAATCATAAAAGGGAGGCATCATTTTTTAAAAAATAGTACCTGGTATAAGAAAATTCGTATAAGTGCTAGTCATGTTTTCACATAAACAATAAACAAATATGTGTCCAATAAATGTAATTTAAGGTTTGGGGGGTGTTTTGTCTTGTTTAAAAGATTTCAAGAGTTCGAATAATGCAGGACTGTTTTCAGATAAGCAGGATCAGATAGAAGAAAAAATGTCAACAAATAAATGTGTAATTTATAAGTCCAGTGAGTATTTTGCTTTATCTGTAAAGCTGTGTATTAACTCTAAAACACCTTGAAATTAACCATCGAAAAATATATGTCAAATTTTTGAACATTCACTTATGCCAATATCATTTGTGAATATTTTAGTATCCGAGAATTCTGGAACGAATGGAAATCGTTTGTGAAATTTAAATATCCAAAGAAAAATTAATGCTAATTTTTCGATGAAAAACAAAAAATAAATTTAATTTGTCAGTACCCTCTAGCGTAAACGCAAGTAATCTTATAAATGATACAACAGCAGTATGTTACTCCATGGTCACTTTCACTATAAGATTATACGAAGATTACTTGTGATTACACTGGAGGGCATTGAAAAATAAAATTTATTTTTCTTTTTTTTTTTAGAAAAATATCNATAATGTAAAAGAAAACACTTCCAACAATAATTGTGATACACAGGATGATGACTTGGAAAAATCTAACAAATCTGAAAATGACAACGAAAAGGTTTCTTGCCTTGTTTGTGGCAAATCTGTTATTAAAAGTAATTTAGGAGTTCATTTGGATGAATGTATGGACAGCATTTTTAATAAAAAGGACAAATCTAATGTAGACGAGGAGAACGAATGTAGTAGCGCTGATCAAAAGTTTAATTGCCCCTTTTGTTTAAAATATGTGTTAGAAAGTGAAATGACTAATCATCTTAATTTATGTTTTTCTGTTTAATATTAAAATTGCTTGAATTGTAATTTCGTATAAAGGCTTGTGGTTTACTGATTTATTATATAAACAATTATTAATGTCACTAACATTCACATCACAACCAATTGGAATACGTGAAAATTTAAAAATTTGACTTCTATAATTTGTTGTCTAAAGAGGCTCTTGGCGCATGTTTTACCTATTCAATTTTATCATTATCATAAAAAACACTGTTTTTTTTGGTTTAGTTTGTTATACTTATGCTGATATGTGTAGTACGTAGTACGATGTGTAGTTTGTGTGGTATAAAGTGATATTTGTCGGTTAATTAATATATTCTATAATAAAACAAGTATAGGAATATTTTAAAGATGCTGGAGCCAGATCATTTAATTGCTTTACAATTGCAAGAACAATTTGAACAAGAGGCTGAAGTAGAAGCAGGTTCAAATTTAGTATATAAGAAGAACAACAACCCTAATCTCAACAATTCAAAATCGTTGATCGATCCTTCTTGGGAGCTTATAGACCCTACACCTGACATTTACACTCTTTTCATGGTATTTAATGAAAGATATTTCTGGGGTAAACTCGTAACCGTTTGTGTTTCTTGGAGTAAAAGAATGACTACTTGTGCTGGCATATGCAGTTATCAAGGCAGGGGTGGTATGTGTAAAATAACATTAAGTGAGCCATTATTGAAATTGAGACCTAGGAAAGATTTAGTTGAAACATTACTGCACGAAATGATACATGCTTATTTATTTGTAACAAATAATAATAGAGACAGAGATGGTCATGGTCCTGAATTCCATAAACACATGTATAGAATAAATGCTGAAGCAGGTTTTAGTTCAACTACAAACTTAGAAGCCTTGTATGATATATCTAATTTTAAGGTACAAGTATTAGTGTATATCACGATTTTCATGATGAGGTACGTTTATATCAACAACATTGGTGGAGATGCAATGGTATATGCCAGAAATGGAAACCTTATTTTGGGATTGTTAGGAGAGCAACTAACAGAGCACCTGGTGCTAATGACTATTGGTGGTTAGAGCATTCCAAAAATTGTGGCGGAACTTTTATAAAGGTAATATTTCTGTAAAAGATATTGTTTAAGCTTATTTCTAATTGTAACGTTTATGTTTTTGTGTTAAGAAAAATTATAACGATTTTAATTTATAAACAAAAATTTAGTATCCATTAGTGTATGATTATAGCTTTTATTAATACCGAATTTTTCTTTTTATTATTATATATGATTTTCCTTTTATTAAAGGTAAAAGAACCGGAAAATTTTAAGGGAAGGAAAACTCAAAAGGAAAATGTGAAACCAACTGCTAATCCTAAAAATGATATAAGGAGATACATAGGTAACAGTCAAATTAGTAAATCAGATTCGACATTTCATATAAAAAACGGTTCTAACATTGTCGGATTCAAAGACATACAAAAGGGGAGTGTAGGCATAGCAATAAAGAACTCTAGCAGTACCATCGTTGTTACCAATAAAACGAATTCTAATCAGTATGCAAATAACAATAAGGATGTTAATAAGGTAATAGCAATAGTTAAACCTTTTTTGGCCAATGGCAAATTAATTAACACTCAACTTGATACTACTATTATCCAGCAAAAGACAGAAGATTATTCGATTGTGCGAAATCATTGGTTACAAAAATTTCAAAATCAAACTGAACCCAAAAAAGACAGCAAAGTAAATGATAAAAAACGCACCTTATCTTTAAATGTTCCGGTTGAAGAAAAACGCCAAAAAATAATTTCGCCATCACTGTCAATGTTAGACATGCCAATTTCTAATATTAATACTACTGATTTTGTTAAATGTCCTGTGTGTCTAAAAAATATAGAAAGTAATGGAATCAATCAACACCTAGATTCCTGTTTGACTAAAACTAGCGAAAACAAGACTGAAGTGCAAGATTTATGTTTAATTTGCAATGAGACTGTTTCAAAAGATGCATTAAATAGTCATGTTAACGATTGTTTAGATAGGATATCAATAAATGGAAAAATAAAATGTGATTTGTGTGGCATTTTGATAGACAGAGATAAATTTTCTAATCATCACAAGGAATGCTTGGATAATGTATTTGTTGATAATCCAAATATGGAAAAAAGGACATGCAATATTTGCGGTAAAGATGTAGCTAAAATAAATTTTGACCAACACCTAGAACGTTGTTTACATGATATTTATGATGCGTCTGAGCCAGCTAACGTAGACCAAATTGACCGAAATAATGTAAAAGAAAACACTTCCAACAATAATTGTGATACACAGGATGATGACTTGGAAAAATCTAACAAATCTGAAAATGACAACGAAAAGGTTTCTTGCCTTGTTTGTGGCAAATCTGTTATTAAAAGTAATTTAGGAGTTCATTTGGATGAATGTATGGACAGCATTTTTAATAAAAAGGACAAATCTAATGTAGACGAGGAGAACGAATGTAGTAGCGCTGATCAAAAGTTTAATTGCCCCTTTTGTTTAAAATATGTGTTAGAAAGTGAAATGACTAATCATCTTAATTTATGTTTTTCTGTTTAATATTAAAATTGCTTGAATTGTAATTTCGTATAAAGGCTTGTGGTTTACTGATTTATTATATAAACAATGTATGTTGCATGTCAATATTTTTCAATACATATATTTTTTTAATACAGAATTTTATTGCCGCTTTTCCATGTACAATATATTATAATCCCTCTTCTTTAAATTATTTTATTCTCGACTTCCAAAAGAAAAATTGGTGTATGAAGTAAAAAAAATTATAATTAATGTACTATACTAATTTTAGATTTTCCTTTATAATGCTATTAATAACCGAACTATTCAGTATTTAATAAATCTACGCCTATATTAGTTTCGAAGAAAACATTTACGAAAATTGAGAAAATCAGAAAAAAATGAAAGAATTTTTTATGGAAAAGTTTCTCCTCTTGTGTAAACATCCGTTGCGTCGTCATTTTTCTTATTTCTTTTTCCTTTGATTTTTTCGACTTATGTATCTTGAGTAAAGGGTTCAATCACTGGTACCGTCCTAGTAATGCATTACAAGATTAAAGGCTATCTTTCAAATGTGCATTTGTACATACCCAAAGATATGCTTATTTACCTGGTGTATCTGCAGGCACTATACATAACACTAACACAAATACTAAAACTTTCATCCCCTCCCACACATTGCACTTAATTTTAAAACGACACGAAAAATGAAAAGGGAGAACCACTAACAAAATGATTATGTATAGTGGGTTTCACTTTCCATTGCGGTAAAGTCCCATTGGGATGGATTCCATAATCGTATAAAATTTATACTATTTAACTGAGCAGACTGTTGTCATAAAGCCTATAATTAAGAACCTCTGACGATGAGTGGAGATGACGAAGTAAAGACAACAGAACCATGACAAAACTAAACTAAGAGGAGATACTTGTGGTTTTAAAAAGGACGGAGAACAAATATCTTGATTAAACAACGAACAACCCAAGTAAAAAATAAGTGACAATGCTTAATACGGAAACTTCGATCGCGACTTTAACGATGTGTGATCATGTTTGTTTATCTTAATTGATCGAAATTCTTCCTCTTCTGAAGAGAGAAGAGAAAAAATGAACGATGGTCCATGGAAATCTGAAAAAGAAAATAGGTAATAGTGTTAGTATCATCGTTTAAAAAGATATTTGGTTGGATGTAAAGTACTTTACTTACCGCTCACGCTGAAACAAAATCGAAGATAAATTAGTAAAAGGTTAAACATATAATTTATTGTGAACCCACTAATGGGGTAGAAGAATGTACTTACTTCATTACATACAAAGGTTTTGATAAATGGATATCCTTGATTTTAATCTCAATAAATTTTATGTAGATACCCAATAAAGGTATGCTTGTATGTGTTTCAGATGGGTGGATTAGTGTTAGTTGAAAGTAGTAATGGAAATGATTAAATTCGAAAGCTACTTTATAATTTTCAACATTTTTTGAAAGATTTGTGATTTCAAAATAAATTGAGAATAAAATTTGAATTAAAAGTTCTTGTGTCGTTGGGATTGTAAAGGTGACGACAGTGGCGGTAATTCGGGTTGGACGAGAACGAGAATCGAAATTGTGGTTAAACTGGTAGTTTGGTGATTTTTTTAATACTGTGACGAATAAAAAGAAAGCACTTGGTTCATATGTTTCACTAATTTATTTTTTAGATTTCACTCTAACATATGTTTCGGCTTTAATGCCATTATCAAAGAGTTAATATTCTAAACTGGAATATACGTTTGAGTGAAATCGAAAAATAAAAAGGTGGAAAAATAAAAAAGTATAAAATCTAGTACACACGTACTCGTTGGACAAACGCTTATTATCATTAGGTCGCAACAGAAAAATATAGATACTTTATTTAAAAATGAACGGAAAAGTAAATATTATATTATAATTAAGTAATATTTAATTATA